TGTGTGTGTGTGTGTGTGCGTACGTGTGTATGTATATGTATACATGTAGGTGTAAATATATTTATTGTCAATCTCAGTTGGTTGCGCAGAAAAAAGCAAGCAGTGTCGCGGTGAAATGCTTTTACACATCAACCAATAACTATGAAAAAAACAAACCTATTACCCCAACAGAAAATAGGGATGGTTATAACATAGTGAAAATATCAAACCCTACAAAGTGAAATCAAATGTTTTTCACAGTCGTGTTCTGGATCGATAGTAACAACAACACAGTCGTGTTAAAACAAGGAGCCCGTCAAAATAATGAAATCGAAGAAAACAGCATTTTTCTTCCCGTTAGGCAATGTTTATATCGAATTTTTGTGTGTTTTTTTGGCTCATCACCTTTTATATCCGTTTAAAAACAAATTCCTTTGTGGACTTTACCGAAAAAGGTTGATTAAAGGCACCAAAAAATGTAAATTTACAGTTTCCATTGGCTATTCATTTTTAGAAGTAAAAAAACCTTTGGCTGCCATTTTCTCGCTAATTTTGCCTCCGAAACCTGGTTGCCCCCGCCTCCTTCAATTTCAATCCAAAATAGCTCAACTTCTATTGAAGATAGATAGGTTATTTCCTCATCGAAAGTAAGATAAACGAACAAGCTTTCAGATGATACCTGTAACTCCATATGCCTAAAATTTGGCGAGCGCCTGATTCTACCGCGTCGTAACACCTATTATGTTTTTGTGTTGGACGAGATAAACAAAGAAAGTAGCAAATAGTAAAGTAGTGGGAATTTGGGTTAACTGCCCCTTTCAAAATGTTAGGTTTTTAAAAAATATTATTTTCAAGACGAGGGACCTTCAAATTTAACGTCCATCTCCCATGGAATCGAGCAAGAAGGCTTGAAAGCTTTAAAAACTTCAAGAACCCCCCAAAAAAAACCTCAAGAACCCGTCGAGTTCAAGAATGCCCAATCTGGGCCTCGAGCTAACGCGCTCCGCTCCGTAGTCCAGTTTAACGTTAACTGAGCAAAGGGCCACCAACAACAGAGGCCGATATGTAAGGGTACAAATTGAAAAGGGTGTATATGAATTAGATTCTCCAATTAAAGGAGTCTGCCTTTTAAAAATGAGGTGATGTGTTTCGTCTGTAACTTTTGCCATCATAGCGATATTACCAACTATTTCACCAAAAATGCAGAACAAAAATCAAATTAATCTGTCTTGTAACACTTCTTCTGCTCCCGTAGATTTATTATCCGTTAGGTCGCTTCTGACAGATGACAACAAATGTCTCCTCCACTCCTCTCGGCTCTTTGCTTTCCTCAGTGTGTCATGCAGCTCCACGATTGTTAATTCTCGGGTGTTATCTCCCCCCCCCCTCCCAATCTCTTCTTCTGTCTGCCTCTCCTTCGTTGTCGAATGGTTTTAGCAAGACTTGAAACAAGGGTGACATGGCCATACCATTTCAGTTTGCGTTGTATAACCAATGATAGAAGGCCAGTGTAAGGCCCAATTACATTGCATACGCGTCTCTTCACTTCTTAGTTGGTGACATGGTCTTTGTATGAGATGTTAAGCAGTTTAAGGAAGCATCTCATCTCAACAGCTTTTAATCTTATTCTTCTCTCGGTGTCTGCTGTTAGGGTCCAGGACTCACATGACCGATGTCACCAAGGAGTGCGGAAGCCTGATATTTGAGCTAAGGGCGATGTTCCTGTTTCTCCAGATATTATGTTTGAGTTTGGTTAGCGCGGCTGCGGTCTCTGCTATTCTGAAGAGTATTTGGTTCGGGTGTGGATCCTTCCTCTAAAATGATAGACCCAAAGTATATTTGAAGCGTGTGACAGTCTCGAGATTTTGATCTTTGACTTTTTGTTGTTGTTTGTGAAGTTACTGTTGGTCATTACTGTTATTTTCTCGGCACTTATTTCTATGCCGTGAGCTGAGGAGGCCTTTTCAAGTCGATTTTCTAAGATGTCTGGTTCTTGTTCGCTGCCGGACACCCACGCCATCTATGTCATCAGCAAAACGAAAGCTTGAGATGCTTCGTCCTTCTATGCCAATTGTTCCTTCATGTTGTTCAAGCGGTTCTGTCATGATATTTCTCGAAATGTTGAAGAGGGTGGGGAAGAGTAGGCAGTCTTGCCTCACTCCAACAGTTGTCTTTAACCAATCTCCAATGTCGTTTTTTTCCCCTTGTTGTTTTGTTGTTGTTGTTGTTTTTTGTTGTTGTTGTGTGTGTGTGTTTTGTTGGTTTTTTTTTTGTGGTTTTTTT